GAGTGTGAACTTAGGCTGGTGGAAGCCTGCCGGAAGCGGCGTTGTTTCTATTTCCAGGGAAAAAGGGGTAAGGGAAGCTGTCTTTCGGACAAGCTCGGTTGACTGTCTTGTAGTCAACACAAACTCGCCACTTTTCATTCTTCTTAGGCACCACTACCGTGTTGGAAATCCACCGAGGGTAGTGCACTTCCCGTATTGCTCGTGCTTCAAGCAAGTTTTTTACCTCCTCGTAACCTAGGCTAATAACGGGTATAAGAACTCACAATGTTTTCAAAAATTGATATCGTGGTTAGTAGAGGCCGGTCTATGACCGGGCGAGCGGGGGTGCTCACGAAGTGACCTTCCCCAATCGTATCCAAGTTCCCGAGCCGAGGCAACTTTGGTGATGACGGACGCGTGGCCTTTTGGCACCGAGTCAGGGTTTCCTAAATTTCCCAAAATAAAATATTTAGGTGGCGACTCTGTATCTGGCAAAGCAGTCCATGTTTGGCACTTCTTTCAAAAATCAGTTTTCTCAAAACGATTTGCCGGATTTGGACTCTTTGGTTCAGACTTAGAATCGTGACTAACGAAAGTCGAGTCCGAGCTGTAGCGAGGTCCCCCCGCGGGCTGGTTACAGTATGACATATAGATCGATTTGAACAACATGTGATTAAACACGTATTCAAAGAAGGTATTGAAATAACAATGCAGTTTGAATGATGCACCGAGCCTTAGTGCATTAGTGCATGCAAGATAAGATGAATAGATACAAGCATGTGATATGCTAATTAAAACATGACCCTAATTTAACCATCAAAAGTGATTAAATAAAATGAAAAAGACGTGGGGTTGGAAAACATGCACACATGCATGCACGCACACGCACGTGCGCACACTTGTTACAACATTATGCCCTCACGAACAAGGGTCCGAATGAATAAGCTAACCAACTAGTTAATTAACTATTCTAGTTAACTAATTATTACAAAACTCGAATTAATTAACTATTCTAGTTAACTAATTATTACAAACCGAAATCGAATAACTAGTTAAACTAACTAATTATTTACAACTCTTAATTAGCTACACCTAATTAATTGCAACACGTATTTGATTTATTGCTAATTAAACTAATTAGCTAATCCTGGGAAGTGAGGGAGGCCCATGCATGCTCTGTTTCCACTTCAAAAGCCACCGTTTTGCTGCTGCAAGCCTCTGTTTGCACATTTGAACACCAACAAAGCTGTCCACTTCCAGAACACCTCTGCTCCACCATACCAATACACTGTGCAAATTTCATTGGTGGCCGACAGGGGGCTGGTTGGCTACCAATGGCGGCCGGTCGGCTACCATTGGTGGCCGATCGGCCACTGGTGGTAGCAGTCAGCCACTGCTAGTTTGAACTTCCTTGCTGCAGCAGAAAGCAAAACAGAGCAAAATAGTGTATTTCTCAAGGGTTGTTTACACACTTTGCCTTTCCTTTTCATGGGGAAATCAAAGGAGGGACAAGCTTTAGTTCACAAACCATCAATCAAGAAAATTTATTGCATGATGGCTTGTGAAACCAATTGTGCAAGTTTAATAAATGCAAAATGGAACCAAAGAGACTATCACCCTATCATGCATGATCAAGGGCAATGAAGACCTAGGAAAATCGCACATTTTATCACTTTTGAGTATGAAATGTCCCATTTTCCTTGTGTTCAAATTAACGTCCAATTTGAACGCATGCAATGCAACACAAACAGATGCTTATCTTGCCACTTTTACTTGCCAATTTTGTTTACACATTTTAATTACCAAATCATTCATTAATCAATTAAATCCATTGGTGAGTGTCCTCTAATGGAAAAAGGGCTCAAACCCCACGTTGCTTTAGGCATGAAAGAGGCATTACACTATTGGTGATGAATCCCCTAAGGGATTAAACCATTAGGAGTAGCACCTCCATTTCACAGTTAAACAAACAAGTGGTTTGAAACCACTTTCAAAGCAAAACCAAAAAGTGAAGAAATGAGGGAGATTGCAGAGATTATAAGTGCTAAAACGAAGTAGAAAAAGTACTAAAACATGCAATCAACTCACACCAATGATGGTTAAAGCCTTAAAACATTAAGCTAATGAAAGGGTTTACACTACAACTATGCAAAACAAGACTTAAACGAACTAACTAGCCCAAAATAGAGCTAAAATAGGTTATTTCAGAGTCTAAAACATGCTGGACTTGAGCTAAGTTAAGCTAGAAAAACATGCTAACATGTGAAGCTAACTAGGCATGCAAACAAGACACAAGGAGGGGAGGCTAACCCCTCCAAATTTAGACCTCAAAATAATTTTTTTGCCATTGAAAAACCTCTAAAAAATTCAGTGGTTAAAAGGCCCAAAAACATTGATTTGAAAGTGACGAATAAAGGCACAAAAGCTTTACAAACTAATAAGCAAGAAGGGTGAGCCACTCCCTAACTAAAAAAAAGGGGCTCAAACCAGCACTTTTAGGCCACAAAAAAGAACTTTTTACAGTTCAAAACCAGCCCCAAAACAGTAAGAAAAGATGGTAAAATAAGCTTACAAAACAAAGTAAACAAGGCAAGTAAACTACCTCTTGAAGCAAAAGGCAATTCTACGCACAAAACCAAGGTAAAACCACCTTCAAGAGCTCCAAGAAGACCCCAAGTAACCTCAGCTCGAAGGTAAGAGGATTTGATTTAGGATGTGTATGCAAAAGTGTGGAGAAAACAAGCAATTAGGCACAAAATTGTAAGAGAGAGAGAGAGAGAAATCAAGAGAGAGAGAGAGATTTTTGCTCTAAATTTTCTAACCTTTTAAAATGGGGAAGGAACCCCCCTATATATAGAAAAACAAGTTTTGAGCTTAGAAACATCCTACCATACACGTGTATGGAGATGCAGCTTAATGTGCTAACAGTTGGCGCAGCTGTCAACAAATATCTGGAAAAAAAGACTAGTGGCCGACTGGCCACACCAATGGCCGACACCCAAGGGCCATGGCCGACAACCACTGGTGGTGGCCGACAGGTCACCACAAGTTCCAGGCACAAGTTTTGATCCAAAACAAGGCACATAAAGGACAAGGTCTAAAGGCTCAAAGACAGGGCGCTCCACCGAGGACTTCGAGCACTCAAAATGAACACATGCAACCATAATCATCAAATGCACAAGTGATGACGTCCAAGTCTTGAGGATAGTCAAAAATTGGGTGTCTACAAGGGTACACTACTACAAAATCATAAATAGATCATACTTTTTATGTGCGATATATGTTATTTAATCACACATTTTAAATTTTGTCTAAGTGCAATCTTTGAGAGTGTAATTAAAAAGGATCATTTTTAATCACACATTTTAAGTATCATTAAAAGATGATTCCATCACAAGTTATGCGTGGGCTAATAAATATTTGGATCACACATTTTGCGTGTGATAATAAATATTTAGATCACACTTTTTATGTGTGATATATAACTAATAAAACATGTGATTAATAATGAGATAAGATCACACGTTATATGCATTTCTCATCACAGTTAATGAGTGATAAAAAAAAAAAAAGGGTTCAACATCTGAAGAATAATCAATATTATTTTTGTACGCATTTGAAGAATGTAATCCTTTGAATCACAACCACATATTGAATGGAATAACATCATATATTTCATAAATGAAAGTTGAATGTTCAAAAGTATATACAAATGAATTAACGAAAAAAAATTAACTGTAATTATGTATATTAAAAAAATGAAAAAACTTGAAGCACAAAAACCTTGAATTCTTTGACCATATTTTGCATGTCTCCAAGTAATTTTTGACCTAAAAAATGAAAACACAAATTAATTCCGAGGCAAAATTTGTCTCTTCTTTAGAAATTACGAATGCAGTTAAACCAACAACAAAATGAAACATAACAAAGAAAATCCATGAGCATAAAATCATCCATCTTGTTGTACCCTTGTGTCAATAATCACTTGTCCACATGCAGGGGAAAAAAAATCTCCCATATGCAGGAACAAATTTGGTAGTCCATGTCGAAATTGATGGACATGACAAATATAGTAAACAAATTTCTTATTTTTTGATGACATAACAAATCTCGTAGTTCATGGCGAAACTTATATTATTACACCTAATCCTACATTCCTAAACATGTATCAATGTCCACATTAAAAAAAGTATAACAATAGAAAGAATAACAAACTGAGTGAATATTAAATTAAATTCCTATGGAAGCATGGTTGATAGTATGTATATTGTTTTATGTCCTATACATGGCATGTTATTTTGTATGGTAGGATAATAAATTGAGTAAATATTTATATACAAATTAAATAACATAGAAATTAAAGCTCTATCTCTCTATTTCTTTATCTAAAAAACAGGTTATCTCACCAAATGGTTCAATAATTTTTATCAATTTTTATATCAGTTTGCCTATAAAATGTTAAAATTACTTTCGAAATAATGAGAGAAACATGAAGATCTTGTGCACAAGCATAGATTTTTATTTTATTTTATTTTATTTATTTATTATTTTGAAAAATAACGAGGTAAAAGAAAGACCATATAAACTTTACAAATATTTAGGTCTAAAAAGACAAAAGGAAAACATTGATGTTGTATAAGCAATTGCTATTATCCTCGTTAAGTATATGCCTTTTCTATCAAGATTACTTTCATCTACTTGAAGCCAAAATACATAAGAAATAGTTCAAAGGGTGAGGGGGGGTTGGGGTGAAACTGTTTTACCATGCTCCAGACAGACATTTTCACTTTTTACATAATAAAAAAAAATTATATTAAAAAATAAACTAACTGAAATTGTAATTCATCCAGCAAATTCTGCATCTAGAGAAGGATCCAGTTGATATAATAACAGTATTCTGAGTTACCAAATCACAGGGATAAGAAGGAGAAGAGAGCAAGTAGTTAGCTAAATACGAATTGAGGTTCAACAAAATCATAGATAAACAAAATTAAGATTTTACTGATACAGAAATACCCCGCCAGCTTGTCTAGCAATATTGTGCCACCATCATTTAACAAACCCTATGACAAAACAAAGATTTGTCAAAAACTCAAGTGAAAAAATAAAGGTCAAATGATACCATAGAACTTAGAGAAAAACAAGGCCAATAATGTTTCATGAAAGCAATACCAATTAAGTGAGATCGCAAGTGACAAAATAGGTATCCAGCAAGGAGGGTGAGGGACAGAATAGGTGAAATACACTAGTGTAAGATGATGCAACTTTCTGTTTAAGAACAATCTTAGAATCTTAGCAACCAATACTTCTCCGTATTGGATCTAATTTCCACATAATGTCACTACCTCCTAAACTTTACAGTTAGCAAAAGGCCATCATTCATATTTTCACATCCAGTATAATATATTGACTTACTTGATTGTTACAGAAGATCTCTATAGAAAGCTTAAGCTTTTGCCAAGGTTTCAACTGAAATGAACCATCTCCTCCAACAGCTAGATGTTATAACTTCCCTACTGACCATTATGTAACTAGTTTTACATTTGCCTATTCTAGGAATTCTTAGTTCCACTCCTGCTTCTATTGAAGTCTTGGAGTTAGTAATCAATTAGCAAGCTACCAACCAAGAGACAAAAAGAGGAAATTCCATGTTAACACAAATGGCCCAACACAATGTGGAATCTGTTAGATAATGTCTCAATGGGACCACATAATTAAATGTGGTGTTATCATTTATAAGAAGCCTACAATTTAAGTGATTCAATTTAGTTAATAGGCTTAAGGGAAT